TGATGGATGATGTGATGCTAGGTAGATATATGGATGAATGAATGAATGATGGCTAGATAAATAAATGGATGGATGATTGGATGGATGGATGGATGAATGGATGAAGTGTATGAGTGGGTGGGTGGATGGGTTGATGGATTGATTGGTGGATAGATGGTAGGTGGATAGATGAATGAAGGATGGATGGATGGATGGATGAATGAATGATGGGTAGATGGTTAGACAGATGGTTACTAGGTGGGTATGTGTATGAACGAGAGATGGACAGGTTGAAAAATGGGCAGATAGACTAGTGAACAGATGACACATTCTGCCACAGGCCCTGGCCCTGCCCACCTCTGAGGCCCGGGCAGATGTGGGTGGCAGGGGTGTCCATTTCCTAGGTGGGGCGGAAGAGGAGGAGGGTGGGTTTGTGCCTGGCAGACTCAGCCCAGTCACGCTAACCCCTTCTCCCCCCCTTGCAGAGCTCTTGTCACAGGCAGTGTTCACACCATGCTGTCCAGCCTGACGGAGTGGCTATGGCAGGAGAGGTTTTGGTTGCCACCTAATAACACGTGGGCCCAGCTGGAGGACCGTGATGGCCTGGTGTTTGCCCACCCTCGGCACATGCTGGCGGCCCTGCCCCTGGCGCTGGTCCTGGTGGCCGTGCGCCTCACCTTTGAGAGGTGAGTGTGGGGTCTGGTAGGCTGCATGTGCGGGCCTGTGGGAGATAGGGGGAGGGGGGATCTTGTCTTCCCTGGTCCCAGGTGGCTGCCCCCACCCACTTCCTCCTGACCCTGGTTTATGGGGACAAGGGGCTACACACAGATCAGGGTGGGTTATGCCACTGCCAGCTTCATAGAAGAAGAGGGGAACCCTGGATTTGCTAAGCACAAAAGAAGCCAGAGGCCAGAGAGAGCCTCAGGTCCTCCTCCTGATGTGCCCCATGGGTAAGAGCTGTCTCCTCTCCACCCTCCCCCCCAGCCCTCCTTTGCTGGCCTTGATCTTGTGGCCTCCCAGGTGCTAGAATTACAGGCCTCCTGGCTCCGTCTAACCCCGTCCCTATCCTGTTCTTCATTTCCTGCAATCTCTTACAGCCCTGCTGTCCAGGTTTAGTGTCACCTGCCCCACATCTCAGTGACCTTGCTGCCAAACCCTGTGAATTTTCATAAGGTTCATGTCGGGAACCTGGGGTTCCTCCTTTCTCCTGAGGGCAAAAATTATCCCCTCCCCACAGCCTTGGCATCTGTGCTGTGGCCACCCAGATGTGACCTGCCAGACCCACCCACCTACCCACCCAAAAGCAGTCTGCCTGCCACCCCATAGTCTCCCCTTCTCACACCCATACCCATCTATTCCACCACCTTCTTTGTGACCCCTCCTCCACACTCCACCATTGCCTTGGCTCTTTTAAGTCTGGATTCCAAGACACCCCCCCTCCCCCCCGCATTGACATGGGACTGTCATACATCTTACTTTATGGTTCCCATCTGTGGCCTGGGGCGCCACCTAGTGGGCATAGTGGTGCTGACCAGAAATCTTCCCCTCGGTGGGGGAGGGACGCTCAAATGCAGCAGGCTAGCTCTTCTCCTGGCCCTAGGAGTCCTCAGCCTAGTGAGAGTGAGGGTACCCGGCTGCCTATGAGGTGGCCTCTATTTATCTCATCCTGAAGACAAGAAGGCTACCTTCCTTTTTTTAAAAAAACTTTGGAACTCAGGTCCTTGTGCTTGCAAAGTGGTCACTCTACCACTTGAACCATATACCCACCCCCTTCTTATTTTGACATAGGGCCTTACATTTAACCCCTGGCAGCCTGGACCACACTCACCCTCTATACTTCCAATACAGCTGGAAGGACAGGCGTGACCAACAAGCTCCCAGCTCTTCAAAAAACATTGAGATTCAATAATATTTTTGAGCCAGGCGCCGGTGGCTCACCCCTGTCATCCTAGCTACTCAGGAGGCTGAGATCTGAGGATCATGGTTCAAAGCCAGCCTGGGCAGAAAATTTTGTGAGTCTCTTATCTCCATTAAACCACCAGAAAACTGGCGCTGTGGCTCAAGATGTAGAACGCTAGCCTTGAGCTGAAGAGCTCAGGGACAGCGCCCAGACCCAGAGTTCAAGCTCCACGACCGACCAAAAAGAAAAAAAAAAAATTGCCCAAGCCGCCGTCGAATGGCAGTCCTCCACATCTCCACTTTCTGAGGAGTTAGGATTACAGGAGAGAGCTACTGTGCCCTGTGAGCTCTGATGGACTCTGTCTTCCCTGCACCCAGATTTGTGGCCCTGCCCCTGAGCCGGTGGATGGGCGTGCGCGATCAGATCAGGAGGCACGCTAATCCCAATGCCACGCTGGAAAAGTACTTCCTCAGAACAGGGAGGAGACCCACGGAGGTAAAAGCCACCGCCACCCCACCCACGTGGCCACAGGGCTACCCTGGGGACCCAGCATCGGGGTGATATGTATGTAGTCTGCTTGCTGGGGGACCTTGTACACTACCTGGAGTTCCCACCCTTCCTGACAGGTGAGGCCCTGTCCTCTCCATCCACTAGGGAGCTGAGGCCCCATCCCTCCCTCTTACTAGTTGGGAGCTTAGTCCCCGCCCCCTTGGGTCTTGGGGGCTCCACCCCCTCATTCTATATGGGAACGGATGCCCCGCCCCTGCCATCTAGTTGAGAGGTGAGGCCCTGCCCCTCCCAGGCTGGGTGAAATACAAGGCCCCACCCCTCCTAGACCTGTATTCACAGTTGCACAATCCTGCAGAATTCTGGGATGCAGAGAACAGGAACAATTTTCTCCCCCTGTCCTGGGGATGGACCATGTCTGGGTACTCCAGGGGTGCTAGCAGAAGCAGCTTTGGGACTTTCCCTCCATTTCTGCCCTGCTGCTGAGTGGGCTGGGGCTGGGCCAGGGCCTATGCCATAATGGAGGAAATTCTCATCTGCCAGACCCTCCTAGAGAAATCCCCCCAGATTCATTCTTTTTGTTGTTGGTGGTGGTCGTGGAGCTTGAACTCTGGGCCTGGCTTTGTCCCTGAGCTCTTCAGCTCAAGTTGAGCCAAGCACCACTTCTGTTTTTCCTGAGTGGTTTACTGGAGATAAGAGTCTCACAGACTTAACTGCCTGAGCTGGCTTTGAACCTCGATCTCAGCCTCCAGCGTAGTTAGGATGACAGGTGTGACCCACCAGTGCCTGGCACCCAGATTCATTCTTAATGCCAGTCCATCTGTGGTCTGCCTACCCTGTGATCAGGGTGTGGTTAGTGGGCGACTCTCCCTTTCCTCACTCGCCCTCCAGAATAGACAAGGTTACCCCCACACACAGCATCCAGGGCTGCAAGGGAAGGCGAAGCAGAGCCAGGTCCTGTATCTAGGGAACAGACTGGGGAAAAGCCACCAGTGGGACCCTGTGACCTTGCCCCCATCATCCCCTCCCCAGACCCAGATGGCCCTCCTGGCTGCTCAGTGTGGGCTCACCCTGCGTCAGACTCAATGCTGGTTCCGGAGACGACGGAACCAAGAAAGGCCCCGCCTGTCCAAGAAATTCTGTGAGGCCAGGTAACCTAGAGGAGAGGGTTGGTGCACAGGGGCGGGGGTCAGCTCTGTGGCTGCTCCCTTACCGGCTCCCTTTCTGCTCATAGCTGGAAGTTCGTCTTCTACCTGTGTTCTTTCACTGGTGGCATTTCCATCCTCTACCACGTGAGTACCCCTCGACTGCCCACCTGTGCTTCTGGTGCTCTTGTTGGAAAGCATCCACAAATGGAAACCCTATGGAGAAGTGACAGGCAGAGATAGGGCCGGGCAGGAAAAAAACAGGGCTGAGCGAAACCCCACTGGGGAGGTCCCACACCCAGGGTGAACCTTGTGACCTCTAAGAACTTGAGATCCCTATTTCTTTCTAGGCGTCATGGATGTGGAATGCGAAAAAATGCTGGGAAAATCACCCAAACCAGGTGAGTGGCAGGAGGTAGTGAGAAGCCTGGTTCTTGTGGCCACGGGCCCAATATCATACCCCCAATTCTGCTCTCAATTCAGCTCAGAATAATGGGGCCAGGCTGGTGGCTCATGCCTATAATCCTAGCTACTCAGGAGGCTGATATTTGAGGATCATGGTTCAAAGCCAGCCCAGGCAGGAAAGTCCATGAGCCTCTCACCTCTAATTAACCCCCAGAAAGCCAGAAGTGGCACTGTGGTTCAAAGCAGTAGAGCACTAGCCTTGAGCAATAAAGCTCAGGGACAGCACCCAGGCCCCAAGTTCAAGTCCCATGACTGACAAAAATAAAAACAGAATCATGAGGATCTGGGAAGGAGAAAACCCAAAACAAGAGCTGCCACACCGCTCACCATGGCCTTTGGTTACCTCCAATGCTGGAGAGCTCACTCCTTCCTCCTTCATTGGGACTCGAGTGTCCCAGCTTAGAGCAAACCTGGCAGTTCCCGAGTCTGTTCCTGTCTGATAGTCTTCACAGTTCACAGCTAACTGCTGTGTCCTGTCTTAGACCCTGCAGCCAGAACTGTACTGGTGGTACCTTCTGGAACTGAGTTTCTACATTTCACTGCTAATCACACTGCCCTTTGACATCAAACGCAAGGTGAGACAAGACAAGGGCCCAGTTGGGGAAGGGGTTGCCTAGGCAGGAGGGAATGCCCATTTGGTCTCTGGGACAGGTGGTGTGGGGTTCAGAGGCCGCACATGATCCCCTGAGAAGGTCTGGGTTCAGCCCCATGGTGGGGGTGGGGGTGAAGGGACTGGAGCGCCTGCTTTGCTATGGCTGTGCCCCACCGTCTCCTACAGGATTTCAAGGAGCAGGTGATCCATCACTTCGTGACAATTACCCTGATATCCTTCTCCTACTGCTCCAACCTGCTGCGCATAGGCACCCTGGTGCTGCTGCTGCATGACTCTGCTGACTACCTGCTGGAGGTGGGCGGCCTGGGCAGCACTCACACCTGCTCTCCTGAGCCCCTAGAGATGAGGCCCCGCCCCTCCCAGCCCTTCTGAACTGAGGCCCCGCCCCTCCTAGCCCTCCTGGGACCTGAGGCCCCACCCCTTCCTAGCCCCCCTCCTGGGACCTGAGGCCCCGCCCCTCCTAGCCCTCCTGGGACCTGAGGCCCCGCCCCTCCCAGCCCTCCTGGGACCTGAGCCCCCTGTCCCTTTCAGCCCTTCTGGGACTTGAGGTCCTGCCTTACCCAGTCATGGACCAGAGGCCTCATGAATCTCTCTAGAAGAGGAGACCCCTCCCCCGTGCTCCCCAACTTGGCTTTCCCAGCCTCCTAAACAGGAAGCTTCACCTCTCAGTCTCCCTAGGAGATGAGGTTCCTCCCCTCCAGCCGAGGCCATGAGGCCTCGCCCCCTCTGTCTCCCTAGGAAACGAAAGCCCACCCCCTCAGCGTCCTTGGGAAGTCTCTCTCTGGCTCCCCCTCACCTTTCTAGGCATTTCTGGAGATAAGCTGTCAGATTTAACTAGTCCAAACCTTTATCTTCTGTCCCAAGCGTGGCCAGGTCCAGCACTCCCCTGCCCCACTGCTAAGCCCATTTCTTGTGCTACCTTCCCCAGGTCGGTAAGATGCTCAGCTATGCAGGCTTTGGGTCAGCGTGCACTGCTCTCTTCTTTGTCTTCTCTTCGGTCTTCTTCTACACCCGCCTCATTATCTTCCCCACGAAGTAAGTTAGCCCTCCTGAGGGGCTAGGGAGGTGGGAGAGCATGTCTGACATCCCGGGCCCTGGGGAGAGGTGGAGGTATTGGCTGGGATTCTTCTAGAAACCAGGGAAGGGTGTGACCAACACAACTATGTAAAATGCCAGAGGTAAGAGGGATGGAGAACTGAGCTTAATTATTTACTGTTGTTCTCCTGGATTATGGAGAAAATGATTGGTCCAGGCTTGAGGGAACAGTATATGCCAAGGCCCTGAGACTAGACTGTGCTCCAGATATTGGAAGAAGCAAGAACTAATGGCTGGAGCAGAACCAGTGAAGCAGAAAAAGCAGGGTGAGATGAAGAGAGGAGAGCATGGGCTGCTGGCTCATGCCTGTAATCCTATCAGGAGACTGCAATATGAGGATCATGGTTCAAAGCCAGCTGGGCTAAGAAAGTGCATAAGGCTTTTATCTCCATTGAACCCCCAGAAAACCGGAAGGGAGCTGTGGCCCAAAGTGGTAGAGCACTAGCTTTGAGCAAAAAAGCTCAGGGACAGCTCTCAAGCCAAGCCCCATGACCAACCAAGAGAAGGGAGGAGGAGGGAGGAAGGAGCACTACAGACCAATCAAGAGCTCAGAGAAGAGGTGAAGCCGTTTTAAAACTTCATCCTGGGCCGGGCGCTGGTGGCTCACGCCTGTAATCCTAGCTACTCAGGAGGCTGAGATCTGAGGATCACGGTTCAAAGCCAGCCCGGGCAGGAGAGACCGTGAG